CTGAGAGTTAGCTGCTAAAACAGCCAGACTGGTTTTACTTCCCAATCTATCTGCCACAACTAACAAAAAGATGAAGCCAACCTCTTCCAAGATTCCTCTGAGTCAGACTGCACTTCAGGAAACAAACTCTCTAACGGAGCAATAACTGAGCCATTTTGTGGCTCCTGGCACAGCAGCAGCAGGCTGGTGGTTAAGGTATTTGGTACTCAAGGAAACAAAATGGACAAGGGTTTCTGGTCTCCCACTCAGCTCTCCTGATGACAAGTGGTTGGTTTGCCTTTAAATAATCTAACAGCACCTTCTTATTACCAATTTATGTAAAAATCTCAGGGTTTTTTGTTCTCAGATTAACTCTGATACTTTGTAAGTATCTCAGTGTTTTAAATTCATAGCTTATGCCTGAAACCAAAACACCTCTGCACTCTGCTTTCTATCAGCTTGTTAGAAAACCTGGAAAAGCTGAAGGCAGCTGGGTCAGGAATTAGTTCTGATGAACCTGCAGGCTGTTCCTTCCCAGTTACCAGAGCCAGTCCCCCAGTGCAGCATCAAGGGATTCTGCTAGCTCCTCACCAGCAGGACAAAACCAACATCACACTCACTCAAAGCTCTGAGGGGCACTTCAGGAAAGGAGGAATTTTAACAGCCTGAAATTAATTTGGTGCATCTCAGTGTTTTCTTACCATAAATTCACACAACTTCAGCTGCAGTTGTTTTACCACACAGCTTCTCTACTTTATATCCTAACAGTTGATGCAGCTTCTGTGCTCATCTTTATGATAAATTTCTGGTTTATCTTGTACTCCTTGTTTTTTGTAAGTCATTAATACTGCATTTACAGTGGAACTTATTCATCACTTCAAATAGGGCTTCAGTAGGGCACTGTGGGCTCTTGGCCAGCAGAATGAGTTTCAAAACTATGAACAGGAACAAGATGACTATTCTTGATAATTTTGCAATGAATAATTTCCCTTTATATTGTTTTCCTCGGGCTCAGCCCCCCACCCCAGCATGGAAGAGATACAAATGTAATGATTCCATGACATCAGGGTGCTTTAATACTTCAGCCTCTGTGTGGTTCAGGTGTGCCTGCCCAGTCCTCAGTTTATGCTATAAACCTTGACATATCACAGCTCTCTTTCCACAAAGAAACAATGTTTAATTTTCAAAGTCCACTATTGTTTATGAACTGCAAACTAAAGTATTTAACAGTCCTCGTGAGAAACCCAAGGGAGTCCAAATAGCTCAGCCTCAAAATTGATTTGGGGATCTAAACAAGCAAGTGCTCTTTGAAAGTGTCCTAAGGAAACTCCAGCCAAGTTCCTTTTGTGTCACTGAAATCAGAACTCACCTGCCTGGCTCTGAGAGGCTGCCCAGTTCCTTAATTAATGAGGGCAAATCCAGCTGGGCACTGGCAAATGAGTGCTGCACTTCACATTAGTTTGACATTTTTCCCTTTAAAAAGCACTGAGACAGGCTTTTGTGCTTACCCTGCCCTAAAAATCTTTTCATGGGATTCAAACATCTCCAAGCAGCAGGCATGTAAACACAGGGGCTGTCAGGAAGAGCTGCCTCATCTCTGAGACAGGAGCTTTAAAGTGAGAGGTGTCCTCGTGTTCCAGCAGTGTGGGATTAAAATGGGCATTGAAAATGGGGCTGACATTGGAACCTTGGGAAGATGAAGACCTAAATAAGCCAGGCTGGGTCAAGGAGAATCTGCTGCTTTTCTAGTATTTTAAGTTTTTTAAATGTGAAATTTCAAGATCAAACAGAAAGTTCCATTAATTTACTCTCTAAACACTGAATGTGCACCTCCCTTACATCAGCTCAAGGTGCTTAGGCCAAGCTTATCACACACCATAGATTCCATTCCCATTTCAGGGCACTTTGCTCAACCTGGGGCACTTATTAAAAATATCTATTATGGCACAGCCCAACAACCTGCTCTGGGGGGGTCAGAGCTATCTGGGAGTTTTCAGTAATTTTTAGTATCATTTCACTCTTTGAAGTAATGCATTTGAATTTCCTGCACTCGATTCAACGTGCTGGTTTCTGTTCAAGGAACATTTAGGTGAGAGCCAAACTGAATGTGTTGGTTTAGCTCCACACAGGCAGAGCAGGTAGGGTTGACTTTGATGCATCAGGAACATAAATCCTAATTGGAACGTGCCATTCCCAGAATTTCTAGTTCAGATCCAGAGTTAACTTCTGCTTACTGTTGTGTTGTTTTTTGTCACAAATAACTGTGCAGAGCTGGCACAGCCTTACAGGATACAGGATACTACCTGCAGCAACAATAAAACTTAATTTTCCTGCTACGTGTAAAAGCTGGGCCCTGGCAAGGCTTGTCCACTTGGCTAAACCTTGAATTAGTGACAGGTGGCCCTGCATCACTTACCCTTTTCTTGCATATTTTCACCTGATTATCAAATCAGTAATCAGTCTTCTGGTTAAGCTGCTGGGAAAAAATGAAAATACAGCAGGAAAACCTGTTTATTTGTTTCTAAATTGGCACAGTTATCCACAAATCTATTGCCTGTTTCCCAACTCCAACAAATATGGATTTAATCCAAGCAGTTGGAGGGGGTTCCAAGTTAATTTGATGTCCCTGTGGTTCTGAGCAGAACGAGTGCCGCATGTTCCGCGTGCAGTTCGGAGGCAGCTGCAGGGAGGAGATGCAGGAGCACTGCTGCAGCTGCGTGCAGAAACTCAGCGACTACGTCCCGGTGCAGGGGGCTGAGGAGCAGAGCCTCAGCCAGGACAGCCAGGCCATGGACACCGAGCACGCGGTAAGTGACACACACACCCAAAACCAGGCACCTCTGCCCGCGAGAGCTGGACACGGAGGGTTTCTCACAGCTGTGACACTGTCTGCATGAAACAGGAATTGGGAAATTGGTTGTACAGGGCAAAAAATGGTCAGAGCCCCAAAGTAACCCTGGATCCTGGCTGCTTTCTGTGTGCTCCTGGTTTGCAGTGGTAGTAGCTGCTACAACTGCCTATTTACAATTTGACCCTAACCTGGCACATCTAAAAGCAATCTCAGGAGGAACAGAACGTTTCCCCTCTCCAAGATAAAGTCCTGAGGTAACTGGAAAAGGCACAGACAGACAGCATTTTCCAGGGCGATTATTCCAAAATCTCTGCTCTCTTGGGTATTTGGATCCATCTGCAAGAGGCAGTGTGCTCTTGTGAGCATCCATCCACAGCATTCTTTGGAGTCACTCCTAGGAAGTTGTTTGTGACTTCAGTTTAGCCATGAGCTAACAGGCCTGTAGTTAAACTGTCATATCTTTCATTTTTAAAGACTGGAGCAGATGTGCATGCAGGTTCCATAAAAAGATGTCTTTTTACTGCAGAAGGTAGCTGAGCACATTCCCTTCCCGTCAGTGCTAAAAATGGAACTGCTTCCCCCCCTGCACATGCCCACACTCTGCTTGGTAACAAGCCCTTATTTGCATTTGGTATTTTCTAGCCAGATGAGACTCTCCCAGACTCCTGCACAAGCCTTGGAGAGAGAAGATCTGTAGCACAGCTTGCACAGGTAAAAAACAAACATCTCCTGTTTAGAGTCTGTAACTGAGCCTGAGAATGAGCTGTCTCAGATTCCATCTGGGAAATGCCTTCCCTAAACATTGGGATGCCATCATCTACACCAGCAAAACACTGGATCTGTGTAATGATCCAGAGCCAGGGAATAAGCAGCAGAACAAGGTGTTTGGTGGTGTAATCACCCCATTTGAATAGGAACAAATGACACACTGAGAGCAAAGAAATACCCAGAGGCAACATCCAAATGAATGGCTCTGGCACTGGTGTGACTCTGCAGAAATGACTTGTGCAGATCAGAGCTGAAGCCTGAAAATAATAATGGAATCACAGAATATCCCATCTAACCCTCCTCTCTGGCAGTGGGAACCCATTCTCCCTTGTCCCAAGTCCCTCTCCAGCTCTCTGGGAGCCCCTTTAGGCACTGGCAGGGGCTCTGAGGTTCCCCATGACCCTTCTGAACCCTGACCCACAGGAAAGCATCGCCATATTCCATGGACAGCTTCACTGAGCAGTTCTGGGTAAATACCTGGAAGTCAGCTATTGCTCACTTACTGGGAATTCAGGCCAGTGCAGAAGCAGATGGGCAGAAAACTGCTCTTTTCTGCTCTGCTTTAGTGCAGGTCCTTCTCTCTCTTCCTTACCCTTCCTTCGTAGTCTTTGATTGGCTGAGCACAGAATCCCAGACTGGGTTGGACTGGAAGGGACCTCAGAGGTCACCTCATTCCAACCCCAGTGCCACGATGCCCAGAGTTCACCCACCACCATGGGGAAAAGCTGACAGAGGGGATTAAACAGGGATAAAAAGGAAGTTTTAACATAAAAGCCCCATGCCTTCTAAAAGACATTTGGCTAAATGAAAAGCTTGGAAGTGCACACTTGGTTTTCCCTACACAATCCATGTGGCAGCACGTACACTCATAGAGGGTACACTGTTTACAGGATGGATACCCACAGGAAGCCACAGTACCCAGGAAATTGGCATTTCCGGGGTCCATTTCCAACTGAAATAATTGCAGGGGCATTTGACAGTGTGTAAAAGCTACACTGGAATCACACCTGGGCATCAGAGAAAAGCTCACACACAGCAATCCCAGCTGACTGATAGCACCCTGAGAGCATCAAACCCAGGCAGCTCCACGTTCCTCCAGCACCCAGGAGGGCTGGGGTGTGGCTGTGTCCTTGTGTCCCAGCTCAGGGTCCCCTTCCCACCTTCCGTTGCAGTCGGTGCTGCGGCAGCGGCCGGAGCTGCCCCCGGCGCTGCGGCACCCGGCCTGGAGCGCCCGCGAGCTGGGGCCCTTCATCCGCCTCTGCCTCATGGACCAGCACTTCCCAGCCTTCGTGGAGGACGTGGAGAAGGAGCTGCACAGGCTGGCCAAGGAATGAGGCACGCCCGGCACTCCGGGGGTGCACGCAGCTCTGCTGATTAAAGGTTGAGAAACAAGGCCTACAGCGGTTTTTGTCGGTGTTTTATTTTTAAAAACAGGTGAATCCACTTTTTATACATCATTGCACTTCAACAAATACACGGAACACGAATTCATGCAGCTACAGTTACGCACATCATGAGAACCCTGGTAGGTCTATTTCTACAATCTTTAAATCATGAGAAATTACAGTGTCAAACTAAAGAGGAATAACTAGTTGCATAGAATATCACCATGCTGTAACATTTCATCATTTAACCAAAAAAAAAAACGAAAAAAAAAAAAGAAAATTATAAAAGTTTGCCTGAATTGAATGTACAAGAATATGTCGAACACATCAGTGCAAAAGGATTTGAGAATTTACATGAGTTAACAAAAAAAAAAAAAAAATCACTTAAAAAGCAATCATATATATATATTTATAAACTGAAGGTTTGTTTTTGTTTCCAACTGCATCCCACCACCACCAGCAGCCCCTGGCACCACCCGGCCCCGACGCCCAACAGGACACCCCGCGCTCCACGGTTAAAGCCCTTAAGGAAACTCCAATGTCCCTGCTGCGAGCACCGGCCCGGCATCACTCCCTCCTTCCAGCCATACAGTAAGGAATGAATATCAGCAGCTTCAAAATGAACCACAACGACTTCTGGTTTCCCCTCCCCCAAATATAAATATATACTGTATATATCTTTAAGTTTTGCTGTACTTTACAAAAGAAGTCTCACTAGATGGCAGCGGTGCGGTTTGAGCGGTGCCGAATTTAACAGCTACAGGAAGTAAAAAACAGCGCATGCGTGAACCCGCCTGGCTACTGCTCGTGTAAAGAGAGGAAAGGAGGAAAAAAAAGCAACATTCACAGCACATCAAGCCCAAAAGAGTTTACACCTTCTACACGGAAGCATTATTAAAATTCATCTGGCTAGGTCATCCTTGCAGGAGAGGCTAAATAAGGCATGCGTTAGACAGTCATATTGTTGCTCACTTGGAAAGGAAAGAAAAAAAAAGAAATCAGAACTGGAGTTCTAGAACCAAGAGTTCCAACCCTTAAATTTAGCAGGTCATATTGCCATCAGTCTCTCAGAAACTTAAAGCTCTAAAAAAGAAACGAGAAAGAGGTGCTAGTCAATGGTGAACAGCGCGAGCCGCCGCAGCCTGCAATCCCCGCGCTCCCACCGGGGCACGGCTCCCGACAGCCCCAGCTCCACCAATCAGTCTGGAGGGCTCGGCAGCTTTGTCTAGATTTTGGCAAGCAGGTCCTTAAACCACCCGCCTGTCTGAGGAAATCAATGAGCGGTCCCCCCCGCGCTCCCTGAGGCGCAGCGGGAATGTTTAAGGCAGGGAACGCTTTGCTGCCGCGCCCCCAGCGCTCCGGGCACGAGGGCTGCGCCTGCCCGCTCCCGGCCGGGCGCAGGCAATACTTACATGATGAGCATTTTTAATTTGTGTTTCTCTGACGTAAGTTTTTGTCTTTGTGATTGTTTGTAGAATTGGTTTTCCTGCAGAAAGGGATGAGAGAGAAATGCATCAAAAATCAGTCACGGGTACAGGAGAAAGGGACGTTATTTGTACTTCAGTAAACAGCGTTCCAGTCTTCCTTTAACTGGCTGAAGACAACACGCTTTTAGACTTTGCATTTTAGCACAATATTTATTTTTTACCAAGATGCTGCTTTTCTTTCCTCCAGTGCTAAGAAACGCCAGAAGGTCCAACACCATCTGTAATGTCACATGCAATATCAATCCTATGATTTATCACCTCCCACAACCCCCCAGATTAACCCAAAGAGTATTTTTTTCCCGAAAACACACTTACATTGGCCCAGCTGGTTCATCATCTGCAGCAAGAATCCCGATGCACCCAGGCAGAGACAAGGGAAGGAAAGAAAAAGAGAGTCAGTGTTTGCAGGGGGCTGCAACGCGAGCAGCAAACTGATCTATCTACAGCATCAAAGGCCATTCCAGTCGGGAGTGCAAGGATCATGGAGTTACTGCTCTGGATTCGGGTTTAATGGCAGGTATGTTGCTTCAATGGGTTTAGTTAACACTTGGAATGCTGGTCATGAAGGACTGCAACTGTAGCGGACAGATTGGTGCAACATGGTCAAGACTCATCTTGTCCCCAAGTTCCAGTGGTTCAATCTCATAAAAAATAGATGAGGAGACAAACCAACGGTTCAGTTGTAAAATCCTGCTGGATGTTTGCTTGCATTGACTTTTTTTTTAACATGTATTTTAATTTTTAAGCCGTTTTTCCACTGCTGATGGGTAACTCCTGGTATATACCATAGAGGGTAAATACCCCACACTCATTTTCCCCCACAGATCAAACAACCTCTACATTCCCCATTTTTCTCAATGTTTAATTAGAAGCGACCAGGTTAGGAGGAGGCTGAAGGGGAACACTCGATTCCAGCCCCAACCGTGGTCCTTGGGCAGCAGCATCCAATGTCACCAGGAGGAGTCGGGGTGCTGGGACACCTCCGGACACACTTCAGCTGCAGAGGACTGACAGCATCATCCTGCCCACGGCCCTTGGCAAAACTCATTTAGGAACTGGCGGGGGGTGGGGGAAATCTGCCAATGGGAAATGTTTCATATTAACTCTCACGACCAATTGGGCTTTTTTTTTTGAATTCTCAAACACTGTTTTCTCCCACGCTGTAGTACAGAAGACAAAAATGCATTTACACAACAGTACAAGAGTCAATCCAGGAGCCCAATGCTCCCACAGATGGATTTTGGGGGGACCAATTCAGGCCCTGCTGGTTTTGGCACTTGACAGTTGCCGTTCCCACCTCGTGCCGGAGGGATTTTTCAGGGAAGTCTTTGAGAAACTCTCAGCAGGATTCCACAAGGGTGCTTAGTGCACATGAAGCAGTTATGGAAATTACAGTCTTACAGTGTAGGCATCCGCATGAGCACACGCCAGGAGTAATGTCGGGGAGAGGGGACATTACTCCACCTGGGCCCTCAAGGCAACGGAGAGGCAAAGCCACCGCTAGCACAGACAGTGACCAGAACAAAAAATACTTCAAAAATAAAGAACTAACCACAAACCAAGAGCTTTACAGCCAAAGTAACAGACTAGCGACACACCGGTGTCCACAGAATTCCAGTACCAGCAACAGTAACTATCGGACACGGTACAGAGAACTGGGACTAGGAAGGACAGCCAGACATCAATGTGCTGTTGTATATACAGTGAGATATACAGAGACACATCAGGTACTCAAACACAAAGCACAGCAGAGGAATCTACGGCTTCCTTCCACAAACATCTCTGGGAATCAAGGATCCGAGAGCAGCCGAGCTCCGCGCTCCGGGCGGGACGAGCCTGGGAGGGACAGCGAGCCCTGGCCCCCAGTGCCAGCGCTGCCTCTGAGACCCAACTCGGCTCCAACAAGCACCATCCACTGCTTTGGGAGTTTGTTTGGTTGGACTTCAGCAATAGCAAACTGCACCGAGGACACTCGCTACAAAATAACCATTTTCCCTCCTCTGCTCAAAGATTTAAATGCCCGTTACAGATCAGCAAGTTTGTGTTGTCAAAAAAACCAAACAAACCAAAAAAAAAGCAGCTTCAAATTTATAAAGGCTGCCATCGGTGATTCCTCACGAAGATCCCACAAAAAAGCCTACTGGGAATACTTTATTTGGTGGATCCCCACCACTCCTCCCTGTCCCATCTCTAACCTAAACCAGAGACAAAAAGACCAAGGGAAATTCCTGGTCAGCCGTTAAGTGCTGGCAAAGCATCCCCAGTACAGTACAGACACAGACCGAACCCTCAGCGAAACCAGGGGCAACAGAACAACAGAAAAACCAGTACAAAATCAGACTAAAGAAAAGGTTCAAAACAGCAAACTGAAATCCAAATTAGTTGTGAACGTGAATGAGGAAGTTTTCAAGAGTGTTAACGTTATGACTTGTGCGTTGTATAGACTGAAGCGGAGGTTAAACAAACTCCAAAGCATGCAGAGCTCTCACTTACCACCATTTTTTAAGGGTATGATGCAATTGAAGGGGGGAAAAAAAAAAAGAAGTCATAGTAACCGACAAGATCAATATCACCCAAAGCTTTAATGCCACAGCCCTGCTCTAGAACAGTCAGTAGCACCTAGGGCAGGGAAACGTCCCCAGCGCTGCCGGAGCGGCCACTGAGCACTGAGCCCCTCCTCCTGCAGCATGTGCAGGCTCCAAAACCCCCCTGCTTACAGAGCACAGCAATAACCCCCAGCCAGGCCTCTCCTCAGGGATGGAATGACCTGCTTCACGGGGTCCCAAAACTGCACATTCTGAGCCAAAATGGGAGAAGTGCTGCTTGGTTTTGACACGGGTAATCAATCCATGCAGGCAAAAGTATCTGGGAATTAAAACTGGAAGATGATGACAAGTAGATCTCCCTTAGCTCCTCCACTTGGATGGGAATGTGTTTTGTGCCCCCCCTCCCATTTTCAGCCTTAATTTACAAGGTATTTTACATGTCACTCAGTTTCTTTCACCGCCTTTGGAAAGCTACAGAGTTTATTTTTAGTATCAAATTAATCCTGGGTAGCATCTTGTGACTGGTGGAAGTTAAAAATGAAACACAAGCGGGTTCTTCCAGCACTAAGATTCCAATTTTTGATTCTGAAGGGATTCTACATCTGAGCTCATGCTTTAAAACCTGCAAAGAATCAATCCCAGACTGGTTTGGGTTGGAAGGGGCCCTAAAGCCCATCCAGTGGCACCCCCTGCCATGGGCAGGGACACCTTCCACAATCCCAGGATGCTCCAAGCCCTGTGCAATGAGGCACTGGGCACTTCCAGGCATCCAGGAGCACCTCAATGCTCTGAAGGAGCAGCCAGAGCCTGTGACAGCTCAGGGTCCTGTGTCCATTCCCACGGGGATACAGCAATGCTGCTGGGAACAGCTGATGGCTATGGCCTCATTATGTACCTGCCTCACAATCTGCTCACCCTGACGAATTTGAAGTGTGGGAGAGAAAGATGTGCATAAAAGGGAAAAAAACCCCCACCAAAATCACAGGTTACAAAAGGTAAATGGTTGCAGTTAAAACAGTTTGTTTCTTTCAATTACTTACAGTAATAGCAGGAACAGGAAAAGTCAAGAAAAAAGCAAAAGAGGGTTAGAAAGAATGTGGGGATTTGGATGGAGCTTCTGCAGAGCCAGGAGAAGAAACACATTTATGGGAAGTCTTTGGATTAGGCTGAGGAATGAGAGGGGAAGAATGAAAAGGGACATATTATAACCCAGTCACCTCCAGGCTTTGGATTTACAAGTACAAACCATTCCCATTCCTATGGGGAATGGAGCCAAGAGGTTTTTACTTTCTACTTACCCCAGAAAACACCCTTTAAGCCAGGGGCTGTGCTGGTTTTAGACTATTTTGATGCAACAACAGCAGAAAGCCCACTCCTTTAGCAACCTTTGCTAGGCTACACTCAGGTGGTGCTGGCTGATCTATGGAAACCAAGCAGCTCGAGCTGTACTAGAGAGAACAAAGCCATTCCCTGCTCTCCCTGCCCAGGGCAGCACCCTGGCATTCCCTGCTGGCACCTCTCGCGCCGGGCATGCAGCCACGTGCCAGGGCATGCCACGCTCATGCAGCTCTCACCCCCAAAGCCACGGAAGCTGCACGTGGCCAGCCCCCCTGGCACTGCCAGCCCCCCTGGCTCTGCCAGCCCCCCTGGCTGCTCTCTGGGAACGGGGAGCGAGCTGGACACTGCCTTGCCAGTGTAAGGCAGGTCAGAATTCACGTTCTGAAAGGATGCAGGAATTCAAGCGCCATCTGCCCTCCCTTCCTCCTTCCAGCACGGGATTTGGGTGTGCTGGGAGGACCCCTCATCCACAGGCTCTGCAGCAAACCCTGCTCCAGGCACCCCCTGATGCCACTGTTTTGGTGGAAGCAGGGATTTCACAGGTGCAATGTTCCTTTTCCTGCTCTCCAGCGGCAGGAAAAAGAATCAACTCCCAAATCAGAGTTCTGAGAAGGAGGAAACATCAGCAAAGGAGCTCCTGAGCAGCCCTGGCCCGAGGCACACCAAGCAGCTCACGGGACACACAAAGCAAGGTCCATGCAAAACCGAGGCCTGCAGTCAGGAAATGCCAAAGTTAAAGGAGTGTCCCTGCTCTTCCAGCACGGCAGCGCTTCCAGCAGAGGGAACATCTTTACACTGAACTGCTCCAAGTGTACCAGGAGTCCATCACCCTCCCCAGCCTCCCATGGGCACGCTGAGCCAGGGCATGTGAAGCCTGTAGAACATGGAGATCTGAGGGAAAGGGAAACATTCAATTGTTTCTTTGGGCTGGCCAGGCAGAGTTCCCAGGTGCTGGAGAAAAAGTTCCAGAGGTCTGAGGATCCTCTCACCCAGAGAACACTCCTGTCCCACCAGTCACATCCCTTGGGACTAACTGGGCACTTGTGCCCAGCACCAGACTGGTCTTGCCTGAGGAGCTGACCCAGCACATCCCAAACCTTGTCATTTGTGTAGGTCTAACTGAGCCAGCCCTGAAGTATCACCTGGGCACAGCACGAGGTGAGAGCTCATCGTGGGCACCTGCAGCTCCCAGCATTATCCAAAACCAGCAGCTCATCCTGCACTGCCCCAGTCAGGAGCCAAGGTGCTCCAGCAGCTCATTAACAGCTCCTCCTGCTCCAAAAGCCTTTGATTTTCCTGAGCACAGGATGTGGCCACGTTTAGCAGCAGTGATTTTCTCCAAATTTTAAAAACAATCCTTAGAAGTGGTCTGAGTAAGCCACATTTCCAGTTCTCTGTGCACTCCTCAGCAGCCAGATGGTGGCCAGGACACCTGAGGGATGGTGGCAGACCCCCTGAGGTGGATGTGTGGCACCTGCACAAGGGGACACCACAGGTCCAACGCCTGCAGCCCAACCCTTGGGATCTTTACTGGGATCTGCAGCGAGAGCCATCCCCCAGCAGAGCCAGGGGTAACAGATCCACAGGGGCCATCCACCCTCACACCTGCGGTGGGACCTGGGCTGACACACACTGGGGGACAGCAGAACGGCATTCCAGAGTTATTCCACCCTGGGAAGAGGGGGTGATGATGAAGCAATCTCAGTGTCTAAATTTGAAGAGGTCCAAAGAGGTCCAAGGAAGGGCAGCAAGAGCTCAGTGGTTGCTGCAGCAGCACCTCACGTGGAGCTCTGCCATGAGCACATCCCTACAGGTGAGCACATTCCACTGACCCCAGGACTGGAAAAGCCAGCAGAGATGCTGGCTGGTGCCAGCTGCTGTGGATGCTGTGGATAAGGAGTGCTGCGGGTATTGGCCTCACCCTGCTGGCTCAGCCACAGCTCCCTGACGCTCCTTCCCCGGCTCCCTGCAGCAGCGGAGGCGGAGGTGTGATTTTGGAAGGGGGAGCTGAAATCCCAAACGCCGAGCACGCCGCTGCATTCCAGCATTAACTTTGGCATTTCATAACCATGTCTTGAAAATAATAAAATTCAGGATAACCTGAGTCAAACATCCACACGTGGCAATCAGGAGGCTCCTGATGATTTCCCACGTGTGCATTTGTGCGTGCCCTGCTCCCGGGGCGTTCCCCACCTCGGCAGCACAGAAAGCTTCGGTGCCAGTTTGGAAAATGCACAACAATCCAAGGAATGTGGGACTCCAGGTGGCATGATGCCAATTGGGCCCATCAGCCAGGCAAACCTCATCCCCAGCTACGGACTGTCATACTCAGCATGGATTTTTCCTCCAGGAAAGGGGACAGGGAGAACATCTGACCCCCATGGAGGTGCACCAAGTCAGTCCCCAGGGCTCTGCCTTCAGAACGGTGGCCCCAGTGAGCACTGGAGTAACCTCAGCTCCTTGGCTCATCATCCTGGACAGCTCCAGGGGGATGATGAGCCTGCATCCCTCGGGTACCTGGGGAGAGGCCAGACCAGCCAGGAAAACTGTCTTGGAAAGAGGCAGTGAACTCTTCACCTCCAGTGTGGGCTCCCCTGCACCACCACAGGGGCTGTGCTGTGATCTGCTCACGCCACAGCCAATCCCTGTTGGATTCAGTCCATTTGGGGCTGTTTGCAGGGAATATTTGTGTATCAAATTGCCAGGACCTTGTTTTGGTCCTTGTGAAACTTCATCCAATGAAAATTCTGAATGTGGTGAACTGTAACCACTGATGTGGAGGTGGGTACGTGCAAGGGGAAATTAAAATTGTCTGTTCCAAGTTTTCCAGGCTGGTGGAGATCCCTGAGGCCACGCTGAGGGCAGGACAAGCCCTGGAGCCACTGGAAGCTGTTAGTGATGCACAGAACATGCACTACGGTTCAACTGGGGGCTCCACCCCAGGAGCAGTCCCCACACATGCTCTGTAAGCAGTTAGTAAGTGCTACTCAAGGCTTACAACCAAAGCTGGTTTCCTCTAGGGATGCACTACTTCAGCCAGTTCTGATCCAAGCCTCGGGCCTGCTGCGTTCCACGAGCTCCTCCCCTCACTGTGGATCCTGTGTGAGGCCCGTGAAGGTGGCTGTGCCCACCCCACACACACATCAGTCTCACACCTCTATTTTCATGCCTTGCCAGGGCCCCCTGCAGCCCCACATCCACACCCAGCTGCCCTGGGAAACAGCTCTCACTGGGAAGGGCCTGGCCAGCCCAGCATGGTGCTGAGGATTGCTCCAGCACACTGCCCTCCACCTGCCCCATGCTTGGATCCATCGTGTTCCTGCAGCACCACGACATTCCTGCTGCTTCTCCCAAGGAGTCCTCGCAGAGGTTTTCTCTCTACACACTGGAGTAAGCTGCTAGCAGCACATTAAAGGCTGTTTCTCAGCATGGATCTTGCAAATACTCAGCCTCACACTGCCCCTTTCCCCAGCTGTGCACAAGGGAAGGTGTGCAGGAGAAGCTCATAGATAAAAGTTACTACTAATTGTACATACCAAACACAGATGAATTAATTATTGCTACCATCAAACCTGATAATAAGCCCTATTTTTATAAAATCTAATCAGTGGCTACAATAGATACAGGTTCCAGAGCATTCCTTAACTACAGATTCAGCTACACAGCAGAGTAAGAGCCCTCCCCCATCTCTGAACCCTGCACACATTTTAGTTTTGAAGCACCTTTGCAGCCCCAGTCCCTTGAAGTGCAACGATTCCTTGGTTTGAGTGTAATGTTCCCTCACAGCCCCTGCCCAGTGTCCGGCCACGGGGAGGAGGGAATGCCACCAGGGGTGAGGGTGCTGCCAGCTCTGCCCCTGTGCTGCCCCACGCTCCTTGGGGCGGACAGACAGCGTTTCTCAGGAAAGAGATGGGAGCGCTCCACCCCTCACGCAACAAAGCTTTAAAGACATCCACAACCCCTCCCAGCCCTGCAATCCAGCCCTGGGCCTTGCACCCTCTGGGCTTCATGTCCGGAGAGGGAAGAAGGAGAAAGGCAGGAGCGTGGAGCGGGACAGAGCGGGCTGCCGGTCCTTCCTGCAGAGGCCCCGCGGCTCCTCCGGCAGCAGGGCGGCCGGGCCGGGCCGGGTCAGCGGCGGCGCGGGGCGCACTTACCGTCGGGAACTTCGTCCGGCCGCTTCCGCTTCTCGTAGATGACGATGATGACCACCAGGATGACGATCTCTGCCAGGATGCCCAGGAAGGGCCACAGCGGGGCCAGGTGGCTGCGCACGCGCAGGATGGTGGTGACCGACACGGAGCCCACCTGGTTGGTGGCGTTGCACTGGTACTCGCCGGGGTCCTCGTTGATCTGCAGGTTTGTGATGCTCAGCTCGGTGTAGTTCTCTTTGTTGGAAATGAAGAACCTGCCCGAGGAGTTGTTGATGTCCTGGCAAAGGGACAGGGGTGGGAAACAGCTTGAGGGCCTTTGTGGCACGGGAAGAGGAGATTTGAGGGAGGAGCCCAGGCCTGGTGTTCATCTCTCCAAACACCACAAAGGGAACTCTGCACTCAGGGCTCTGATCACTGCCAGCACTCAGCCGCTCCTTAAAACCTCCAGCTCGCACTCAGCAGGGAACACTCATCCCATCCTGCTATTAGCTTCACATTTTGGCTCCATCCATCCAATCCATGCAGCAACAGGAAACAGCTGGGCTGGAGGGGTTGGAAATTCCCAGCTCCTCTCTGCTATTCCCACTGCTGGTCACATTTTCCTGCTCACTACATCACTGGCTACACGGAACAAACAGATCACCCAAGCTCTAACAGGGATCACTGCCACCTCCTCATATTAAGTCTTGTGAGCTCAACCAGTAAAACTTGGGAGGAATTCATAACCCAATGTGGTTTTAAATCAAGTTTCTTAATTCAGTCTAGCAGTTTGTAGCAAATTCCAGAAAATGGCTTTCAGAGTAAGTTCTTAACTTTGCCCAGCAATGCAGTGAGCAGTGTTTTTCACATACCAATAGTACAAATATCAATTATATATATTTTAATATCTTTTTATATATAAATATCAATTTTATATTCACCCATCCATCCTCACTGCTGCCAAAAATATCCACCTTCACTCACACTTTGGAGGGACTGCATTTTGAGAAGTCACAAAGCCCCTTCAACGGCCCATCCCCAACCCTGGGGTGCTGCTCTCCTCCCTCTCTGGGGTCTGGGCAGGCGGATACATCCTGCCCCCCTTCCTTACCTCAAACACCCCATTGACCTTCTTGCGCCACACCCACTCGGGGTGGGGGAAGCCCACGGACTTGCAGTACATCAGGGCCTCCTGGCCCTCGTTCTTGTTCTCACTCCTCTTGTGCCCAGTGATGTCAGGAGTGGCTACGAGACAACAGAGCAGCTTGTAAGTACAAACAGGCTTCTTCCACCCACCTGGACACAAATCCCTCCTGCTCCCTGGAAGATGGGCTCTCCTACCCCGAGGGGATGTTATGGATGAACTCTGGGTGTGTGTCGGGAGCAGCCCTAAACCCTGTGCTCTGTTTGTGTCCCTCAGCACAGCCCTGAACCCTGTGCTCTGTGTCCCTGGGAGCAGCCCTAAACCCTCCCTGAGCAGCCCTAAACCCCCAGCTTAGGCTGGCTCAGGGCAGTGCCTGGGCTGACCCCTGGCCCAGCAGATGGCCCCGGGCTGCAGGGCCCACCTTTAAAGCTGCAGCTCCTAATTACAGCACACGTGGCTGGATGTGTGATGGCAGCTCTGAGCTGTTAATCCAGCCCGGGGCAGCCCAGCTGCTCCAGGAAACTGGAATTTCCTACAGGAGACTCCCCTGCTCCACCAGAGAACTCCCTGCACGTGCACACACAGCGCCAGCAATTCCAGCTGCAGGCTGAGATCATGAGGGGAATTTCACAGCTCTGCTCAAAGGGAACAAAAGCTCTCCTGCCAGCAGACAGCAGCTGAGCTTGCTCTTCCCAAAATTACAGCACAAATCTTTAAAATGCCTGGCAAGCTGTCCTGCTTCCTACTGTGTTATGTCAAAGGGGTTTTGATGCAGGGAGCATCCCGTGCCTCAGATCCTTTTTGGACAGTAACAGCATTATCCAAATGAGATTGTGAAGCACAGCAAATCCATGGCTGTAGGAAAGCTTCAGCTCCTGCTGGTGTGTGTTCACCTGGACAGGCACACCAGGAGAGGCCCCAGGCACCCTCCAAGTGCCCATGGGAATTCCAACAGCATTTCCAACACAGCATTTATTTCCTGGGCTTTGCAGGAGTCCTGACCAGAGGATGAAGCCCAGCCAGATGTCAACTTACTAATTCCAAGATGATGCCAAGAACAGCCATGATTGGTAAGAACAGGCCAAGAACAAACCCAAGGGGTTTATTTAAGAAAACTGACATCCAAAATGCATCTTTCCACATCAGACATAAAAATACCCTGAGAGACATAAAAGCTGACCTGCAGATCCAAACCACCCCCTGGTCTTGCACAGAAAGGAGCTGCCAGAAGCTGAAGGAAGCTGGGAGGAACATTCCCCACCTGCCAGGTGATCCCTGTGCCTGCCAGGGGCAGAACACCTGCAGCAAATGGAGTTCCTGAGCTGAATTCAGGTCTTCAGGCAGGAAATGAATGAGCCCTGGGGCTGGCAGTGCTGTGCTGCTGCAGGACCCAGGCACTGCAGAGCACCCGCCACGTCCTTCCCACCCCCTGCCCCAGCCTCGGAGAGGAAAATGACATTTATCCCAGATAATGAGGGCTCCAGAGGGGACTGTCATCTTGGGACTTACTGAAAGGTGCCACCACTTCCCTGCTGGGCCTGGGACCTTCCTAAAGCAGCAGCTGGGTGAGCCCCCTGTGGCTTTTGCTTCCTGGCAGAGGCCAAGGAGGGATCTCCTCCAGCCTAGGGACACACGAGCCCAGCGGTGACAAGGACACGATCCCAGCGCTGGCACTGCTGGAACGCCACCAGGGGCTGCAGAGGCCAAGGAGGGATCTCCTGGCAGAGGCCAAGTAGGGATCTCCTCCAGCCTAGGGACACTCGAGCCCAGCGGTGACAAGGACACGATCCCAGAGCTGGCACTGCTGGAATGCCAGCAGGGGCTGCCAACTGGGAACACTCCCATGAGGAAAAGCAGCAGTGGCACTCAGCAGCTCTGAGCTGCAACCCACCACTGGCTGGCCTCCAGTGCCACCCTGAGCAGGGCTGAGCCTGGAAAAGGGGACAGGGACAGCACTCCCAGCTGGCCCAGTTTGTGTCAGGCTGCTGGCAGGGAGGGAAAGGGACAGGAAAGGAGAGGGAACACTTTCTGGGACACCTCCACTCCTGCTCCAGGGTGACACAATGACATTGCAGGAAGGAGAGGCCAGCTCCCAGGAGATGCCAGCAGAGCAGCAGTGCCCAGAATACCTCTGCTCCTCCCTGGCTCTGCTGGGCCAGGGCTATTCCTGGAGCACCCAGGGAGCTCTGTGCAGTGCTGGAGCTTCAGGGCTCAGGGCCACCACCAGACACCAACCCAGCATTTTCTGTCCCCAACAATGCAGGAAACTGTGTCCTGCTGGCCCCATACCCCTGCAGCCCCAGGTTTAGCAGGATTTTCCTGGGAAGCTTTTCAAGCCAGGATTGCTCCTTGCACTGTTCTGCTCCAGTGTCAGCCAAAGCCCAGGGTTGATTCCATAGGCTGTAAGTTTTTCTGTTCTGTGTCAGTGTGCAGCTTTTAGCTTTAAGTGTTCCTGGGATCTTTTCACAGGGCAGTGGAAACAAAACAATCCTGTTCTATCTGGAGACTCAAGGACAATCTCTTCAAACTTCAGGCCCAAAGCTTAAACAACGTGAGAAGAGAGGGTGGGCAAGCAAGCAAGGAGGATGAAACTTCATCATCTGAAGCTATTAATTGGACAGTTAATTCCTGTATGCAAATGGACTAAATCTTATAAGAATGTGAGCTCTCGTGACCAAGCCCTCTTTTGCTCCCATCTTTGAGCCATCTGGGCACTGCCAGGGCTCTGCCCTTTGAGGGCACTTCAATAAATCTCCACTTTATTCCCCTTAACTCCATCCAGCCTCTGCTCCAGCTCCTCAGGGCATCAGGGTGAGGCAGGTTTTGTTGGGAAGGATTTGCATTTCAGCTCTCAGGCAGCACAGCCCCCTCTCTGCTCTGTCACTGCTGCATCACCGGCACCAGCAGAACGCCCCTGGCAAAGGGAGGTTTGGATTCCTGCATGTGAAGCAGGAAAAATCCTCAAGGTGGGCTGGAAACACCTCACAAAGAGCAAAAGGAAGCAAGCAGGGCTAATTTAAAGTAACTGCTACCAAAAAAAAGAAAAATTAACAGACATTCAGGCATGCTTGACTGTTTCCTCTCCCCTTCTCCCAAGACCCTGTAAGAGCAGGGGCACTGCAGAGTTCTCCAGGGCTGCAGTTCACAATCTGGGGTTCTTTTCATCCTCAGGTCCCCAGAGCTCCACACCAGCACTGCAGGGATACCCCAGGAGGAAATGCAGCAATCAAAAATCCCCTTCCAGGGGGCAGGAGGGGGTGCCTTGGCCAGGTCTGGCAGCTCCAGCACCCCCACCCCACCAAAATCACCCCCAGCCTGCTCCAGTGCCACAGAAAAGGGGACATGAGATCCCTGCTCCAAGGGTCCCTTTCCCTTAACCCAGCATTTGCTGGATTCCCTAAATCCAGGGTTTCCCTAAATCCAGGGTTTCCCTAAACCCAGCATTTGCTGCATCCCCTACACCCATCATTTTCTGGATTCCCTAAAGCCAACAATGCCATGGAAAAGGGGACATGAGATCCCTGCTCCAAGGGTCCCTTTCCCTTAACCCAGCATTTGCTGGATTCCCTAAATCCAGTGTTTCCCTAAATCCAGCATTTCCCTACACCCATCATTTTCTGGATTCCCTAAAGCCAGCATTTCCCTAAAGCCCCCTTTCCCTTAATCCAGCATTTGCTGCATCCCCTACACCCATCATTTTCTGGATTCCCTAAAGCCAGCATTTCCCTAAAGCCAGCATTTGTTCAGCCTCAGGATTGCAGCTGGGAGCTGCCCCCAGAGCTGTGGGGACCTGAGCAGGAACAAAGTCCCCCCAGAAGTTCAGCAGAGCTGGCTGAGGGAAGGAGCCCTGGAATGAGCTCCCAGGAAAGGCACCAGATGCTGCCATTAAACCCTGGATTCCCAGCTGCTCTCACACCTCTGCCCTATGGATTTTTTTGAGAAAAAAATCCCAGAATGGTTTTGGTGACGGGACCTAAAGCCCATGCCATGTGCAGGGACACTTCCCACAATGCCAGGCTGCTCCAGGGCCATGCCAGGGCCAGGAGGCAGCAGCACACCAGGGGAGGTGCCCTGCACGCCCTGGGCTGCCCCTGCCACAGGCTCTGGGGAAGCTGTTCACAAGCTGTCAGAAAAATCCCTATTTTTGGAGCACGAGCACTCTGGCATTCAGCACCCTCCTTCCCCTGTGCATCAGCAGTGAGAGCTGCACCCTAATTACAATCAGCATAATTACAATTAAATCTGAGTGTAATTGCTCGAGCAGCAACAGGACCCAAGCAGGTAAATAGGAAATTACAGCTGTGCATGGCACCCAGGTGGTGCCACTGTCCCTCACATCTGCCCTAAGTGCAATCCCCATTTACTATCCCAGTTTCCCAGGAAGGGTATTTAGGTGTAAATTACCTGTGGGAAGTGAGTAGGATCAGTTCTCCTGGCACTTCAATCACAGAAATTGACTTTTCTTCCCCCAGAGTGAGCTCCCAGCTCCCTGCCAAGCTCTCCTGGCAGAGCAGCAGCCAAACACTCCCAAAGGACCTTGCAGAGACCATCAGAGCTGGCAGAGATCTTGCTCCCCTCCCAGAGCTGCATTTCCCCACTCCAGGAGTGGTTTGTCACCTAAAGCAGCCCAGAGGAGGCAGCAGGAACTTTACATTTTAATTAGGGTAACATCAGGAGATTGAGCAATTAGAGCAAAAGGGCAGAATGGAAGAAAAGAATCCCAAAGAAAAGGAAAAGAAGGAAAATTGAACCCCTCCAGCTGTGTACCCTGAACACTCAGCCAAGTTCCTCAGAGGCACAGGGTGGTGGAATTCCCTTTCCCACAGACTGACAGGGCCTGCCAAATTCCACACAAATTCTCAACCTCATTCCTCCTGCAGACCTATGGGAAATCCCTGAGAATTCCCTGACACCTCTGTGGCTCCCCTACAGCCACACTGGTGGCAAACCTTGCTCATTCTGCAGATTTTATTCAGGCTCTAGGAGGACCCAGAGGTGTTTCAGTGCCCCCAAATCCATGGCTGCTCCCATCTCTGAGCTCTTTCCCTGACCGTGTGCCAGGCCTTCCCTGGAAATCAGAGCTTTTGTCTATGATAACAAATTATTACTTCTGATTATGAACCCAGCATGGGGAGGAGGCCTCTCCTGTGTTGTGGGGCTGAGGGAGGCAGGGAGTGGGAGGGGACAGGGGCAGTGGCAGCTGCAGCAGTACCTCTGACTTCGATGGTGGCGTTGGCCACGGGCGAGCCGGAGAACACGAACACACACAGGTACTCCCCTGACTCCTCTGCTCGGGCCTTCAGGATCCTGCAGGGACAGCACACAGCACAGCTGCCTCACACCCACAGCACCTCAATTAACACCCCTTAATTGCACCCCTCATTGTTGGTGCAACCCGGGCACGCCCACCCTCCCCGGCACACACTGAGGCAGTTCCCTCCCCCAAAACACTTCTTTTTTATTAACTATTACCTTTTTCATTATTCCTTTTTGTTAATTCTTTTATTTATTATCCTTCTCTTTTTTATTAATTTTTTTAATCAAGCAAAAAAGCCCCAGCAGAAGAGCACAACCCCTGCAATAAAATCATTTAATGACACGTGGAAACTGCTGAGACACGTGGAAAAAGCTGCTCACTTCAGACTGAGTGCTGACAGCATTCACACACCCAAACTCTCGAGTTATAAAGTGAATTAATTTCAGATAAGCAACTTTGCAATGGCCCAGCAGTTCAACAGCACACTTGGAGCACTGCTGGTTTGAAGCTGCTCCAGGCAATGCCCACAGTGAGGAGAGGAAGGGCAAGGTGGAGTTCTCTGCCTCTCCCCGGGCTCTGGTTGCCATCAATCATTCAGGAGCTGCAAACTGACACAGCTCAAGGTTCACAGGCACACAGGAGCTCCCTGCAGCTGGAGCAGCCACCCCCAGCTGGATGAAGGGTTGGGAGAGGTGCACTCCACTGCCAGCGCTGGAACAGGCAGGATTTTATTGAAACAGTTTCATCTCTCAATTCTGGAACAGAATTTCTGGATGATGAAAGTACCCAGCTCTGAACTCCAAGCACAAAAAACATCTGACAGCAAAACAAAGTGACTGAAAAAAGAAAAGCCCAGGAGTTTAAGGGAAATAAACAGAATATAAAAGATGAACCAGCATATAAACCAAAATATAAATAAATGGGAGAGGAAACACCCGCTGTTAACCACAGCTATGCTGCTGCTGCTTTTCACTGAGAAAACCTGGAATTCCTGCATTTAAAATGGAACCAAAGCACAGTTAAGGGGCAGATCCAAAGCAAAACCAAACAGCAGAGTGAGCCTGAACTCCAGCACCAGCAAAGCAGCCCAAGAGTGCTCAGAATTCAGGGTCTACTCTGCAAATGGAAAGCTGGGATTTCTCCAGCTGTCCCTGGGATTGCTGGGAGCGCCCCATTCCCTGGGGACAAAGGGACTGTGGTGCCCTCCCACTTCACTCCTTCCTTCCCCAGCAGTTAAAACTGAAGCCAAGCCTAAATCCTCCTTTACAGAGGAATGTGGAAGGAAAAATCCAGCCTGGCTTGGAACAGCCTCAGCCTGGCCCTTGCTGGGCAATACTGTGCAATTCCCAGGCACCCTGAGCACCACTCCCATCCACTGATGGCTCCTCAGGGAAGCAGAGCCCCCAGAGCTCAGGCACAGGGCTGAACACTGCACTGAGGAGGGACAGGAAGGAATTATGGAAGGACATGAGACTCGGTTTTTAATTGCAAAATTAACCAGGTAATTCAAAGTGAGCTAAAGGGGAAAATGAAAGGACAAATCATTAATCAGGATCAAACACAACTTCCAAAATGCTGTGGATGAGAGGCTGCTTTGCTAAGGCCATGAAAACCTGGAACATTCCCTAATCCTGTGCCAGTGAAGCAGGGGGAAAAGGGCCCCTCTAGAGACAGAACACAGCTGGGACCAAGCTGCCAGTGGGGGTTAAAGCATCCCTAAAGAGCTCTTCAGCTTGGCTTAACGTGGAACTGGACGCTGGACTTGCTGTGCATCAAAGGGGAAAATGGATAGAAAGAAAAAACAGGGCAAGAAAATCCCAGAGGGAACAGACCCTGAGGGTATCACTGAGAGAGCTGCATGGGATCCCACCAGCTCCAGCCAAGGCCTGGGACCATCCCACAGCAGTGCTGTGAGCAAACAGCCGCACGCACACCTCAGGGACACCTCAGGAACACCATCCCAGCCCTCCCCAGGGCACGAACACCATCCCTGCCCATTCCCATTTCTCATTCCAGCTGGGATTTTGGGCTCCAGGAGGATGTGCAGCAGAAGATGGGCAGGATAAACCCCACACACTCCAAGGAAACCAAAATCATGCTGTATGTGCTTCTGTCCAGGTGAACCCTGGAGAAGAGCTCTGAATTTAGTTTTACTCATCCACCCTGGAGCTCATTGCGGGAACACCAGATGTGCCCTTGTCCCCTGGCTCAGCCCAGGCCACCCACACCTCAGGAACACCATCCCTGCCCTCCCCAGGGCAGGAGCATCATCCCAGCCCATTCCCATTTCTCATTCCAGCTGGGATTTTGGGCTCTGGGAGGATGTGCAGCAACAGACACATCTGCGAACGCTGGAGAAGAGCTCTGCACTGACAGTTTGACTGAGCCACCTCTGTGAGAACACCAGGTATGCCTTTGTTCCTGGCTTACCCCAGGCACCCACACCTCAGGAACACCATCCCTGCCCTCCCCAGGGCATGAACACCATCCCTGCCCATTCCCATTTCTCATTCCAGCTGGGATTTTGGGCTCTGGGAGGATGTGCAGCAACAGACACATCTGCGAACGCTGGAGAAGAGCTCTGCACTGACAGAGTTTGACTGAGCCACCGCTGTGGGACCACCAGGAGTGCCCTGCTGCCCTGGCCCAGCCCAGCACCCACCTGTACTCGGTGGTGTTGGAGGCTTTCCTGGTGCCCGGGATCTCCTCGCCGTTCTTCACCCAGTAGCTGGCGGCCAGGGGGCTGGGGCTGCTGGTCAGGTTGCACTGCAGCGTGACGGCCACGCCGACCACGTGCAGCACCACGTCCTCGCTGGCGTTGATCCGCGGCTCTGCAAGGCAGGGACAGCGCTCAGAGCCAACCCTGGGGACAGTGCCAGCTACTCTACGTGGCACAGGGGGCGGGAGGGGAGGGCACCACACGGGGGATGGCACTGCGGGACACACGGAGGAAGCACAACCAAACCACAGAGCTCGGAGCTGGCGCAGCGGCGCCCCAGGGCTGCGCTCCTGGGGAGAGACAGAAGGGGTTAATTGGGAATTCCCACACATCAAGGAACACCAGCGACTCCTGACACACTCTGTGCTTCCCACACCAACTCCTGGGGCTCCACGTGAGGCCTCAGTTACTCCTCCAAAGCTTCTTGCTGGCTGGCACTTGGTTCTTATCACTCCCTGAAAGGTGCCTGTGCTCAGCTGGGGCTGGGCTCTCTCTCCAGGCAGCACTGACAGAACCACAGGACACACTCTCAGACGTGGCACTGGGTGCCAAAGGTTGAGTATCAGGAGTAAGTTTTTTACAGAAAGGGTGATAACGTTCTCGAATGGTGCTGGAGCCCCAATCCCTGGCTGTGTTTAACAAAGCCTGGACGTGGCACTGGGTGCCAGGGTTCAGTTGAGGTGTTGGGGCTGAGTTGGACTCGATGATCTTGAAGGTTTCTTCCAACCCAGTGATTCTGTGAATTCTTCTCCTTGAGGCTTCAAACAAACCCATTTTTTATATAAACAGCAGTCAAATTTAGGCCTCTCAGTAATGTTCTGGATCTGCCCCTGCCCAAAGGCTGCTGCGGCCCCAGGAGATTCCACAGGGCACAACTTGCCTGGTGTGTGGAACTGGGGAAGGCTGAGGAGGAACAGCTGAGAGCAGCACCCAGAACCTGACAGTGAAATGTAAGGATACACAGCAGGCTAAAATCAGAGCTGCAACTGGCTTGTGTCCACAGTAACCTTGAGCATAAACACTTCTAAGGAACAAAAACAGCCCCAGTGCATGAGCAGAGCCCAGGAGCTCTGCACTTTGCTGGCTGCTTTGGGGCTGTTCCACTTCACAGCCTCACCTGGCAACACCCAATTCCCATTCTTTAGGGCAAAGCTTCCAGAAGTGCTCAAATCAAAGAGGGCACTGTGCTGCTGTCTGAGAACCACGCTGCCTTCAGCCCCTGCAGGCGCTGCTGCTCTCCAGCTCACACAGCTGCCTGATTCTCAGTCACAGAAGTTGCTTCCCAAACTTGGTAAAAAGACCTTTCTGCTGCAGGGCTTGTGCCTCACCTCAGGTCTGAAGCATTCTGTGAAAAACCACCTCACACAGGATGGCAGAGGTTAAGAACATCACAATTCTTGCTGTTAGTCTCCAAAAAAAAAAAAAAAAAAAAAAAAAAATTTTTTAGAAAACATCACAATTCTTGCTGTTAGTCTCAAAAAAAAAAAAACGAAAAAAATATTTTTAGGCTGCAGGCCACCCCAGAGGCTGTGTGTGTGGAAATGCTGCTGTGTGCCCCACCTGGGATCAATTCCTGACTGATTCCAGAGGTGCAGCTCCAGCTGCTCCTCCCTCCCTCCCCTCTGGACGCAGGAGGCTGAGGAAGCAGCAAACATCTCCCTGATTTCTGCAAGTCATCCAAAGAGTTTGGATTCTGGAAACTCTTGCCTTGTGCTAACAGTTTGGGATATAAATTTATGATCCATGGAGCCTCTGGAATGCAGATTATGAAACACAAGGAGAGAACAGAAAATCCCAACTGTGTCAGAACCATCCCAGCCTTCCACACAGGGAAGGAACACCCCTGTATCCTATGGCACATTCTTAGATTGTGCCCAGGGAGGAAAAATATCCATGCTCTGATAACCTGCAGCATTCCAGTCCTGGATATCCTTCTTGGAAATCCAGCTCTTTAAATCATTCTTCAACTGCAGAAACACTGCAGTTGCTGTTTGTATTGCCACATTTTTCACTCCGTTTCTGCCTCATTTCTCCCACACTGTGCATTTTATCCTTTCAAAGATTGTTTGGGCCCAGAATTGTTGTGTTATTCTCGTATCGTGCACCATTCCTGGCCTGCCCCATGTGCTTTTCCACCCCCAAAGAGCTCATCTGCATTCCCGCAAAAACACTGACAGAGCTCTGGGAATATTTTTGGAGTGTGTCTGAAATAGTAACTCAGTGACTGACCTGCAACCTTTTCAGTTTTAGCTTAGCAGAAGTGAAGGCAGCTGTAAGTCTCATTTCCAGCTTCACCTGCATTTATGTTACTTTGATTTGGTTATTAAAAAAGCAAATTGATGGAGCAGTCTCCTCATTTAATTGCAAGAGACAAACTGCAACTGGAATACTGGGACAGCAGCAGCCAAAGGAGGATGCTCACCCAGAAAATCACTTTTTACACATCACTTCAAGTGCCCATTTTATGTAAGCTCAGCTTTTACCGTTAAAACCCAAGCAAAGCAACTAAAAAAAAACCCCAGCAAGTGAAATTCTGGTTCCAAATCCGGAATGAGGTGGAAGGCAGATGGTGGTTCCTGGGTGCCAGATTTTCAGAAGCAAGTTGATCTCTGCAGAGGCCAGGACAGAGCCTGTGCTCTGTGGGGCTTTGGTGTCACAGCAGGGCAGCAGCTGGAAACTCCAACTCCACTGAGCCACACAATTCCCATTTCCAAGAAAAATGGAATGGAAGAGCTGAGGCCATCTGGGCAGGTTCAGAGAAGAGGCTGCACTTCCAGGGACACCTTGGGAACCTCATCCCCGTTTTCCTCCTCCTCCAGCAGGCTCAGGCAGGTGCTGATGTCGGCGGGCTCCTCCTCCCAGCAGGAGCAGCTCAGCTGTCCCAGCACACACAGGAGGGCACTCAGGGGTTTGCTCCTTCTTCCCCTGCACAGCAGGGCCCAGAGCAGTGTGATCCCACAGAGCAGTGTGATCCCACACAAGGCACTCAGGAGGCAGCTCCCACTCAGCAGCTGGAACGGACTGGGAGGGGAGGAGAGGCTGAGCTGCAGTTCCTCGGTGCCAGGGGCCTGAGGGAGGGAACCCCCTGTCCCCAGGGACACAGCTGTGCTCCCCACAAGGCTGGCTGTGCACACCAGGATTGTGTCCCCCAGAGTTGCTCTGGAGCCCCAGGACTGTCCCAGGGCACGGGGCTCTCTCCAGCACACAGCACTCCCTAGCAGACAGATTTCCAGGATCATTCCCAGGATGGCAGAGCTGCTGCTGGAGGCCATGCAAGCATTCCAGTCCTTTGGCAGCCCAAAGGACACGGGAGGGGCGAGGGGTGGGCTGAGGCTGAGAGCTGCAGCTCAGGGACCCGCTGTCACTGCAGTCACCCCACAGCACCGGGTCACCAGCCATTTTCCACGTGCACCAAGGCTGTTTCCATTGCCAGAGGGAAGGTCTCTGATCCAGCAGTGCCCACGGCAGCACCAGGCTTTGGGGACAGCTTTGGGGGGGATTTTTCAAGGTGCCCAAATAAAAAATCAAGATACAAAAACAGAGTTTTGTACCCAGTAGGGCATTAAAGGGTTATCTGAACACAGAGCACAGGAGCAAGACCACACTTTTGCTCTGCTCTTCTGAGGGCACTGAGAAACCACCCAAAACAAGTTCTCCTGTAGCTGCACACTGCAGATTTAATTCCCTCCACCTGTAACTCAGCAGCCATTTCCTTAGGCAAATGCAACTTTTACATCTGGCCCAAAATTCTTCTCTGCAGAATCTGACCGTATCAACTCCCAAATCCATCTGGGTTGAAAAGCAGAGTGAAGGCAGGAAAGCCTTGCCACAGGCAAGAACAAAGAGCAATTCTGGGCCAAGCTCAGCCTCTGCTCCCAGAGCTCTGCTGCTGCCAGGAGCTGCACCCTGGATGGAGTCACTGAGCCCAAGTTTGGGCTCAGCACTGGGCAGGATGTTCTCCCTGCTCCCACAGGCTGGATTAGGAATGGCTGCACCTCCTCAGTGCTGCTGCATCAGAGAACTCCTTAGGAACATGCTGCTGGCCAGGAAGGAAAAGAAACACCACGACTTCATGGAAAAATCCAAACACGAAAGGTCACGTGGAACTGAAAGGGAAGGATTTATCCAGAAGCAGATATGTAACCAAAACCAGGCGAGGAGGCATTCCCAGAAATTCCAAGAGAACGGAAGAAATCAAAATAACACGGTTAGAGTTGGGAAAAGAACATGGCAATCAAAGAGAAAGGCACTGGTGGAGAAGCCAGGGAGGCTGGAAACCTCCTACAAAACTAAAAGGACGAGGGAACAAACACAAATCCGACAGCAGGCTGGTTTCACACAGAAGCTCTACCCCACATCCCGAGGTTTTCCCAGGTGCTTTGTCCTAAGGAGAAGAGACACGGGTGGCACACAGGGTCAGCACTACAGGCGAGGAGGAGCAGCCCGCGCTTGGCGACGACAGGACAGGGTGGCAGAGGGTGGGGACACGGGGGCGGGGTCACCAGACTGCCTCTAGACACTACAGTGCCACTACTGGGGGCCGGACTCACTCTGCAGGACGCTTATAGTAGCCTGGGCTCGAATCCACGTAATGGAGGGATTTTGCCTCAAGTCATTCCTCCTGGGATCGTTGCTGGCCCTGCACTCGTAAGTCCCAGAGTCTTCCAAGGTAAGGCGGGTTACTCTCAGCACACTCACCCCATTGGCCCCGTAGGCAGTGTTAATGGTGACACGGCGCTTCCGAGCGCCATCCCACAGCTGTTTGAAAGCCTCTGCCCGGTTGACTTCCGCATACCACCACTGGATCTCTGGAGTGGGGTTCCCAACCACATCACAGTACAGTTCAAAGGCGTCCCCCGTGAGCTTAGTTTCTGACATGGGCGACTTGACAAACCCGGCTGCAGGGAGGGGCAGCAGAAACGCAGTGACAGAGCGGCAGAAAACAACAGAGCTCACACACAACACAGCAGCGGGGCAGAAAACACAGTTAGAGACATGGCATCGGCAGTGACACGGCTGGGGGACACCCAGGGCAGCTTGGGGACACCCACGGCATCGGCAGTGACACGGCTGGGGGACACCCAGGGCAGCTTGGGGACACCCACGGCATCG